GTATCAATATTTTTTTATATTTTTTTAAAAAAATATTAAACAAAATTAATAATTGTTTAGTTTCCTTTTTTAGACAGTTCAGGTCAGGTCAGGTCGAATCAAATGTATATTTAATTCAGGTCAATTTTATGTCTGACCTGACCTGACCTATTCAGAGCTTTAGTTGTAGAAAGAGTTAACTGTATTGTAAATTATGATAATTGAATTTTGCTTTGGAGATTACCTATGCCATTGCATTTACGGTTTTACTAATATTGATTAATTGACATCCATTTGTATCGATGAGAAGGTTGGTTAACTTTAAAGAGAATTTCAATTTGGCTCTGATTTCTTCATTGGTCAAGGTATATCTGTAGATACGAACTAAATCTTTGAGTACGAAATAGCTATCAATACTATCAAATTGGGTCATATCAGCTGTATCGTCATACGTTACTGTAACTTATTGTCCCAAATTTTTTGTAGTCATAGAGCATCTGATGATCTTGCCAAAAAAGGAAAATACTGCACAGATATTTGCGTCAATTATTGAGATCGGAATCTCTGTAATTTTGATAGATTTTTCTAGGGTAAATTTACCGATCGGGGTTTGTATAAGGGGTAAAAATGTGGTATTTTCCATATTAGGAATGTAAAAAGCAATGGCTTTTCAGCATCACCTCGTGTAGTAAAGCTAATTCTAATAATTTTCTTTGTTAGGTCTGTGGGAAAATTTTTAACTGATATACCAATGAATGAAGGATGAAGGGTATTTAGTGCCACAAAAAAAATTACAAGCAGCATTAGTTTTTTCTTTATTGGATTTACCGGGAAGAAAAATATCTGCAGTGCAGTATGCAAAGAATATTGGAGAGTCTTGTTCTTTTTCAAAACGTGTAATATTCTTTTCAGTATCGGTTGAAAGCATATTTTCTGAGGCGTCATTTGCTTAGTCGTTGTCATAAACTTTATTTTCAGGTGTGGAATAGTTTCAGGTACTTTGTCTTTGTTAACAGTAGACGAAGTTGGGTCAATATCCATAATTTCTTCAGTTGTAGTTTTATTTTCTTGGGTAAAAGTTGACTGAACTAGAGGTTGTGGTTGTGATTCTTGTTCTTGCAATGCAAGTTAGACTCTTTTTGCTGGTGGTAGTGGGGTTCTATTACTAGAATGATTACGGTTTGGGTTTTTTTACAAAATTATTGTTTTTTTTGTCATATTTCAGAAATTTTGTGAAAATGGGAAAAGAGTTTTTTTTTCTTCGAAATTATTAATATTTTATTATTGTAAATATAAACAATAAATTTCTATTAGAAAATGAGTAGACGCTTAGAAAAAACTATAAATAGGTAGTGAAAAACATATAACAGTAATAGTAAAGACTTACTTAGAAGGATTTTTTTAGCAGAAAACATGAATAAAGTAGATTAGATGTCTGCAAAAGATATGATGATGCAATTAAAATAATTAGCAGAAGAAGATGAAATTTTAATAGACGAAATACTAGAGATCAAAATAGTTGAAGGTTAGATTACAAGATATTTTGCATACTTACGTAAAGAATCAGTGAAATAAAGAGTAATGAGTAAATCTCATGATCAAAGTAATCAGCTCAAAATTAATAAAAGATCTAAAAAAAATACTAATATTGGTAGTAATAATAAGTGGTAAAAAATATAACAATTTTACATTTAAATTTAATAAAATTTTAAAATTTTCTATATTTTAGCTAAGCCAAATCTCAACTTTCTTTATATAAAAATTTTTGTTGCAGAAATTAAAACGTTTTATAACTAAATATATTAAAACTCTAGATTCATTTTACTATTTTGCTAATTTTTTTAGGTTACACTTTTTTGTAAGATGTATATCATATGATTACTATACATCAAGAGGTTTTTATATGATGATTACCCCAAAATTTTTATTATAAATCACTTTAATTGATTAGTGGATTAGCAATTAATCATTTTTAATAGTTAATATAAATAATGTTGGTTTATTATAATATTTATAATTAAGTGATACTTTATATCTTGATCTAGTATTATTCCATTCTATTCATTATATAAAAATGAATTATTTTCATACATAAAAACTTAAAATTATTCTATTAAGAATGAAAATGAAAAAAAGAAACATCTTAAGATAATTAAAAAACTATATTTTATTATACTATTCTTATAACAAATAAACCTGAATAACAGATTTTATTTTTATATATAGAATTATATACATTTGAAATTATAATTGAAGGGTTATTTTCTATTTTACTTAAAATAGTATTAAAAGTGCAAATAAAATCCAAAGCTAAAGAAAATTTATAATTACTTACTAAAATTATGACATAAAAACCTGTTTATTAAAAATAATTTTAGTAATTTAATCTACTCATATAAGAAAATATAAAGAGATATTTTCTTTACTAAAATATTACTACCAAATTCTAGAATAAGCAGTGAATCAGTTACGAGTTTTTGGCATAAGAAAATTGCTGTAAAAGTTGGAAATTCAATAGCAGTTTTACATTTTTTAAATTAATTATTCCATAAAAAAATCTGATGATTCTGCCAATCATATTTGAATCACTAATTATTCTCTGGTAAAAATCATATTACAACTATTTTCATAATAATATTATTATAAAATATTTTTATTCATATTCAATTGCATTCCATCTCAACTTATTAGTAATTTAGAATTTATAAAAATATCAAAAATTTTGTGAAATAGTAATTTGTTATTAAAAATAATTTTAGTAATATAAATTAATAGAATTATAAAAATTATAAAAATATGTTAAGAAAGAAATAAAAATCGTTTTTATTATATATGATTGCTAAATATCCAGTATTTAGACATATTATTAAAGCAGTTAAAACTCATAAACTTTGATTAGCTAAAGAATAATCTTTTTAATTAATAAACCTATATTTGTTGGAATAATAACATAAAGTAAAAAGGATTGGAAAATATTTATTGAATTTTTAATTGTGCTTATGTTTATTAATACTTTAGCTTACAGCAAATTTAGCTGGACAAACAGCCTGACTTTACAGATATACATTATAATATTCATAAAATAAACACATCAAGTTTTTTCAGATATTATAATGTGGCATAAAGCATATACGAAGTTTGTAAACGTTGCCAAAATGGGTTGGATTGTACCTATTGATAATACTATAATTCCAGCAATGATGACAATAAAAGAACTTCATTGTAATTTCAAAAAAGCAACATATATTAACAGTTTATGCTCTACAGCTTGTATTTCTAAAATGCCAATTGTAACTGCTGTTATTCAGCAGAAATCACAAACACGCTACTCTTGATCTGAAATATATTATATAATTAATTTCCAACTGGGAAATTTATAATCTGAATTAAATAAAATTATGGAATTAAAAATATGGGAAGGTGCATTAAAAAATGAGTTTTATAACAAAGGTTTCCAACACGAATGAACCACTTTGATCATACGTAGTCTACTGGTAACAAATTTCCGCTTAGAAACCTACGATAAGTAAGATTTAGGCCAACTTTTAATATATAGTAAAATATAAAAATGTATATTTAAAAACTTACAGCAACTACAATCAAATGGACATAATGGCGTATCTTAAAAAAGAACATTCAATAAATTTTTGGTTCAATGAATTAAAATCAATTTTTTACTGGAATTACCTCCTCCGTGGCCAATATTCAATTCTTTAATGTCAAATATAGGCAGTCCATCTTCCGTAATTTTTCCTAGATATTAAAAAGGTAAATTAAAAATAAGATTCCACAAGATATTAAATATTTAAAAAAAAATATGAGAATAATTTTATACGGTTTTTTGTCCCTCGGGAATCGCTAAATCCGTCATCGTCATTCAATTTTAACTTCCGTTTGGTAGATTGCGATTTATTAGGAATTGCGGGAACTTTAAAAACAAATTCATCTACTTTTTTTTTTATCATGGAGGAAGAAGACGATGATGATGATGATGATGATGACGCCGCCATTGGGGAAGTCAATTCTTGTGATTTTTGAAGTTGAAAATTCGTCGACACTTTTTTACTCTTTACAGACGCGAAAATATCATCAATCTCACGTTTACTTTTTTCTACTATATTTTCATGATTTTTATCTGTAGTTGGTTTTTCATCATTTTGATATTTTGTGGGTAAAAAAAGTGATTTTCTTTTTTCGACTTGGCTTTTTTTGTCATTTTTGGAAGACATTCGAAAAAAAAAAATTTAAATTTCCCGAATCAAAAAATCAATTTGTGTAACTTATATTCAAATGGGTGATATCTATTAAAATTGAGGTACGGATCATATGATTTACTATGTCTCGCACCTCAATTTTAATAGCATACCACCCAAATGCCAAATGCCAAGCTAACTAATAATGAATAGATTCCGCCCGAATTTGCTAAATTTCTTTGGCAATTAATTAATATAAAAAAGGATTCATCATCTCTTTTCGGCATTGTATGGTATGGTGAGCTATGATGGTCAATGTATGGTCACATGACATACATCCTTTTTTGTTATATAATACGAAATCAAAAGTATATACTGTATAGACGTAGCATATGACCATACATTGACATACATGACCATACATTGGTCACCATTCATATATACATGGCTCACCATACCATACTTGTTTTCTATTTACTCTACCTTTTTTCCGGTAGTTGACAAGTTTTCAAAAATGAATGCAATGCAAATAGCAAAAAAATTTCCTCAGCTTTCGCTGCAAGATACTTTCGATCTCGTT